TAGCACGAGGGAATATCTTATCAAATGGAAAGATTACCCAGCAAGCGAAAATTCTTGAGAACCGAAGAAAAACGTTAAGAACGCTCAGGAAAGAATAGCTGAGTATTGGAAGAAAAAGGAAACCAGTATCTAAGACAATCGCTCCGCCCCGGAGCGAAACCCAGAAGCTTCGGGAACCTCACTCTCCAGAAAGCCCGACTAATCTACCACAGAATTCCCCAGATTCACAGAATTCCAATCAAAACTCTCAAAAGAAGAATCTCCAGCTACAACAACAGATTCCTCAGCTACCACAGCCTGCACTTCAGCAGCAACACGGACCCTCTTAGCCTCAGCCTCCTCAGCCTTCTCCTTCTCAAGATCTTCGAGGTTCTTGAGACCTCAACAAATAGCCCGAGACATCCTCTCACGCCACATCTTCTTTTGTTAACGCAGTCGAAGCAACTTCAACTCCAACTCTTCTATCTCGTCCTCCAGCTTTCGGTGCTGAGTAGAGGTAAGAAGGAGTTCAGCAGCGTTCATCGGCTCCAGAACATTGCATTTGGCGCGATTCTGGGAAACGCACTCCGAGCAACGGGATGAATCGTGAGGAGAAACGATGCACGATTGCAGGCCTTAACTGTTGCAATAAGAACAGGGATGCATATCGAAACCGTTTGAAAGAATGGACTGAAGAAGGAGATCTTTCTGCTTCTTTTTGTCAGAGCAAGGATTCGAGGATTTCGGTTTCGCGACTTTGTTGATTCTGTTCAGCATCTCGATTAGGAAGGCAAGATCATGAATACGAAGATTTGCTAGATTACTTATAGAAGATTGTTGAGAATAACGATTGATAGAAGGGAGATGATGTTATGATCTATCTAACATGCAGGTTACAGAATAGATCATAAGTAACAGGAACTAGATATTAAGAACTCAATGTTCTAACAAATCATTGATTATATAACTCAGAATTAGGGTTGTAAAGAAGGGAGGATTGTTGGGCTTGCTAGCAATTCCAACGAGCTTCATATCTTGGATTGCTAGACTCGCTAGCAATTCCAACGAGCTATACTGAAGAGCTGGATATATAAGAACACGTTCATTATCATTAGATAGATCCAGTATATAGCTCTTTAGTTGTTAATCTAAGTATTCAGTTTCATACACTGAGTAGCTCCAAAGGCAGTGAACACTTGCATTGCTTATTAGGACTTGTACGGTTCCGTATTCAAGGACTTGACACTTTGATACCGCTCTTGTTAGCATAAACCCCTTCGTGTACTTAGGAATCTTCGGATTGCTGCAGTGCTCATTACAAAGTAATAGATTAATTCAGTTATTCTGTTTCTGATTAATATAGTGCTGAAGATACTATTTAATAACTTGATTTATTCTTTCTGTTTGTTTATCTATTTACAGATGAAATGCTGTAAACATTCTGTAGTATATTCTAAGTTGTTTTATAAGCAAGATTCAAAACTTTGAGTTGAACTTTCTATCTCTATTAGAGATTATTTCTTCTAGCATGCTATAATTAGCGATGATCATTCTAAGAAATATATATGCAAGTTCTTCTGCTATACTGCTTTTCTTGTAGAGAAGAAAATAAGCATACTTGCTTAGTTTGCAAATCACTACTAGAATGCTATTATATTGTATCTTAGTTAAGAGTTCTTATAAGAGAAGTAGCTTAATAATAAAGTTTAGATTAATAAATTGCTAAATAGTTATAAGTACTAATAAGGAATATAGTAGTTTATAAAGCTTATATCTTTCTGCTTTATTCTTCTTGCAGCTATTGCATTATTATAAAATGTTTTTAATTCTTTTTCTAAGATCTAGTAAGTTTTAGTATTTTTTAATGCATTTGTAGATTGCTCTGACTTTCTAGTATCTGTATGCTAGTGCGCTGTATATATTCTTAATGTAGTTATCTTGTTTATCTGAAATCATTGATTCTGGATCTCTTTTCAAGAGTCTGATTCTGAAGGCAGCATTCAGTTCTCTATATGCATTGATGAGGTTTTCTAACTTGTTTTGAGTAAAGATGTTCTGTATATCTGAGGAATTCGTATCTCGGTAGTCTGATTATCTGCTAAGAGCATCTGCTCATTCGTTTTCCGAGCTTTTGCAGTATATAATCTTAAAGTTGAATTGTAAGAGGAATTCTGCTCATCTAACTTGTTGCTTGTTCAAGATCTTGGTTGTTATGAATATAATCAGATTCTTGTAATCCGAATGAACTATGATTGAATGCTATGCGCTGATGAGATAGTGTTGCTATTTCTCGAAAGCTTTCACTATTGCTATGAGTTTCTGATTAGGGATTCTGTAGTTGATTTCCGAGCTATTTAGCTTCTTCAAAAAGTTGCTTATAACTCTTAAACATTCTTGGTTATCTTGCTGACCAAGTTGTTCTCCAAGTGTATATTCTGATGCATTAGTTTCGATTTTAAAAGGTTTATAGAAGTCTGCTTTATACAGAATCGGTTCTGAGATAATGTATCTGATGATCTTATCGAAGGCTTCTTGTGCTTTAGAGATTTATTCGAAAGATTAATTCTTTTTAGTAAGATTTGTAAAAGGATATGCGATCCAGCTATAGTTCTTGATAAACTGCTTGTAGAAGTTGATATATCCAAGGAAAGATCTAATATCTCTAATATTCTTAAGAATTGATCAATTTCTGATAGCTTCTATCTTGTCTTTTTATAGCTTAATGTATTCTGGTTTGATTGTGAATCCGAAATAGTTAATCTTTTATATATGAAAGTAACTCTTTGCGGGTTTCATAAGGAGTTTTGCATCTTGGAGCGTTTACAATACTGTTTCTATATGCTTCTTATATTCTTTCAGTATTTGAGAGTAAATAAGAATATTATTAAGATATGCAATAATGAACTAGTTTAGATATTTGTATAGAATATAATTAATTATTTCTTGAAATGAAGCTAGGATATTTGTTAAACTGAAGAGCATAATCAAGTATTCATAGTATTTATAGCGCATTCTGAAAGCAGTTTTCCATTCTTCTTCTTTCTTTACTCTGATTAGATTATAAGCTTTTTTTAGATCTAGAACTGTAAACTACTGTACTTCTTATAGCTTGTTTTGTAATTCCTTGATGAATAGTAATAAGTATCAGTTCTTAATTGTAATATTATTGAATTGTTTATAATTAATATATAGCCTAAGCTTGCTGTTTTTCTTGAGTATAAATAGAATGGGATATTCTGCTGGTAATTGCAATAATTGTATATATTCTTTCTTAAGATTCTTGTTAAGATACTTTTTAAGTGTTTCTAATTGTATCTTGTTTAGTCTGTAAATAGGGAAGAATTTGGGCTGTTTTTCTTCTTGTAGTGAGATCTCGTGATTATACAAGCTGTATTCTGATAGTCTTATATCCAATTCTCTCTGGAATAGTTTCTTGAATTTATAATATTCTTGTAGTATATTTGCGAGTGTTGGTTCTGATTCTTGTGCTATTTCTGCTATCTGAAGGAACAGTAGGTACTGTTGAGTGTGCTTCTTTTCGCTTGTTGTTTTTAGTGATGTTTTTGAGAGCTTTGAGTGTTTGCTTTGGGCCGGACTGAGCGCTTGAGAGCCTGGTTTCGAGGTTTTTCCTGTATGAGCCTACAATTCACTTTCTGAAGCCTTTCCTTATCGCTCCAGAGCAAACCGACTTGCTGAGAGTCTCGCTTCCATTATCTTGCTAATCTGTTAGCGCTCTAGCACTATTTGGATTCGCTTGTTACTAAGTTCTTCTCCTTGAATTGCTAGCCCTGCTGACTTGGAAGTATATATGAAGTTGTATGAAGCTTCTTTTCCTGAGTATTCTTCAATCACTAGCTTCGATTCTGCGTTATTGATTATAACTATCTTCTTGGATACAGCTTGTTCTCATGAGATCTGGCTAGTAGTTCAATCAATTCGAGAATTATGCTTTTTGAGCTATGGAAGTTCTATAATCAGCTTATGCTATGCTATATCTGTGATATTAAAGGAAACTCTGATTATGCATTCTTAAATCAAGATAAATAGATAATCAGTTTCCTTATTAATTACTTCTTGATTATATGTAACAGATTGTTCTTCTACAGCGCTGAAAATATAGAAGTGCTTCTTCCATTTTCATTATAGTTGTATCTAATTAATAATGTATAAGGATATGAAGTTTCCCTAAGCGCTACTATTCAATAGTGTGCAGTACTTGCATTCTTGAATGTATATATCGAATTTGATGTAAGTATAGTCTGTTCTGAAAGCTTTATATAGGAATCATTCTGGTCTGATTATCTGCAGTTTCTTTACAAGCAATTCTGTTCTTTTGAATTTGTTGAGAACTGCTCGTTCTTCTGAGCCTGCTTCGCTGCTTCTTGAGTAAGCTTCTTAGCTTGCTTCTGCTTATATTGTTGTTATTCCTAGTCTTTCTTCTGTTAATGCTAGTTGCAAATCTTGTTGTTAATATGAATCATACAGAGCATTATCTTGCACTGCTATCACTCTATCTTTTTATCTATATATTGCATGAAGCAATCATTCAGTAGCTCGATATATACGTTGTAGTGCTGTTTATTAAGAACTTCTTTGAAGCGGAGTTCCTGTTCTTCAACAGTCTGAAGGATTTATCCTAGTTCTCTGATGGAGAACTATTCGTATTATACCTTCTCCGAGAAATGCGTTCTGCAGCTATGGTAGATGCAGGAGATCTATGCTAGTTTGTAATATAGGTTGTAAAGTGAGCTGATTCAAGAATTCTTATCTTCTCGTATCTTAATATTTTGCAAGGAAATGCAGGTGAAGAGCTTCTCTAGTTCTATTCTATAAATGAGATATTCAATTCATATTGTTTCCTTATTCTATTCAATACTGAAGGGAAACCTTTCTGCAGATTTCTTGAGTTCATTGGAAGGCTTTGGTGGATTGCTAGATCATTCGTTCTAGCCTGATTCTTCTGTTACCTGAGAAGCGTTCTCGGTATTGTTCAGATACTCATACTAATATTCAAGAGGATACTATCTCTTATCCATATTCCTAGTTATGATGCTTGGCATGAGTGATGAAGAATGTTGAAGAGTGTTGCTGCTAAGTCCTTCCTTCAATGCCTGGATGCTTCGTTCAGTAACATCGGAGCAGTTCGAGTTGTTACTGCTCGTAGTTGTGCTAGGCATATATACTCGCCCTGCTGTTGCTATCTGCCTGCAGCGCCTGGGTTTCTGAGGGAACCATTCTGAATCTTTCTTACTCGAGAGATATATTAAGCAGTTGTTATTATAGCAGAATATTCAGCTGAAACTTCTGGAATCAATAGAATTCGATACTTGCTCCAAGGGAATGTTTTTGCTTAGTTGATTGGATTTCTGTTGCTGAGCGATGTTCATCTAGCATTCTTTCTGAACTAGTTGCTATTTGTTTTTCCGAGATTAATAGCAATTGCATGATATATGTTTCTGTTTATTGCAATTATAGCAAGTGATGCTCTTCTTGCTGTACTGCCTGTTGGCTGCATCGAGCTTCATGAGATCGGCGTGCATAGTGCCGCTCTGAGCTGTGCTGCTATATCGACCGCTATTCTTATTCTGGAGTTTCTTGCCTGTATTAGCTGGAAACTTTCAAGTCTGGCTTCCTCCCTTCTTGAACTTCTCCACCCGTTATTCATATAAACAGTTATTAATATAGATAGCTTAATTAGAGAACGTTGCCAAGTTCTTTAGCCAATTCTGCTTGGAGATTTTATTCTTAATATTATCCTTAAATCCCTTATAATAATATTTTATAAGATTCTTATCTTCCTACAGAAGTTATATTAAGAGTTGCTTGAATCTAATTATATAAGCAGAAGCTGACTTAATCTGCTTGAGATTCATAAGCTGCTAAGCTATAATGTATTCTTTATTGGAATTATTAAAAGTTTCTTTAAAAGCTTTCTTGAAGCTTTTAAAAGAATTGAATATATTCTTAATATTCTGAGTATGCGCATTAGGATTGTTCTAATGCTCCAAGTGGTTATATAGAGAAAGCTTGTATCAGATGAAAGCATTCTTTTCAAGATAAGTTTCTGCAAGAATCACTTTTTTAGATTTCATAGTAAACTGAGTTGCATGATGCAAGAAGTATGCTCTGCAGTAAGTAAGAAATCCATGCAGCATCTTCTGATTGCTGTTGTATATAGCAGACTTATTCATCTTGTATATCTTTCCAGCACCAACGGTATCTATGAAGGTGAAATGCGCCTGCTGAGCTTGTTGAGCTAGCTGAGCTTGTTGATTAGCGATGATAGCGCTCTGAGCCTGCTGTTATTCGCGCAGATTCTGAATGCGCTGAATAAGCTGGTATACCTGGTTAATCAGTTCTTTCTGAGTAGAGGCGTGCAAGGATGAAAGAGTTTCTGGAAGAGCTATCGTATTCTGTATTGCTCAAGGGATAATACTGAACCGTTCTTGAACAAGAGTTGTCAAAATGTAATGAGCACTGCAGCAATCCGAAGATTTCTAAGTATACAAAGGGGTTTATGCTAATAAGAGCGGTATCAAAGTGTTAAGTTCTTAATACGGAACTGTACAAGTTTTGGTGAGCGATGCAAGTGTTTACTGCCTTTGGAGCTATCAGAGTACAAGAGTAATCTGATACTTAGATTGATAACTGAAGAGCTATGCACTGAATCTATCTAATGGTAATGAACGTGTTCTTATATATTCAGCTCTTCAGTATGGATATATTGGATAGCAATATATCCAAGTTATCCTGCTAGCTTTGGATAGCATCTATCCGGAGCTATCCTTCCTGATTGGTCCTGCCCATAACCCTAACCCTGGGTTATGTAATCAATGCTTTGTCAGAACGTTGGATTCCTGACACCTGGTCCTTGTCACTCGTGACCTGTTTCGCGACCTGCATGTTGGATGGGTCATAACACAGACTTAGTAATACTTTGCAGCGTTCTCGATTTCGCTAGCACATATTATCATATTCTCATATGCAATGCAGAATACATAGTATATAAACTCAGCTTCAGAGAATTCTTTATCCATATTCCTATTTACAGCATAGAATTAGTTCAGCACAAAGATTCTAGAATTGATTATATATACCGAGATTACTATAAAACTGCTTAGATCTTATATATTAGCTATAGCTGCAGGCTGCACTTTTCAGAAAAGATTAAAAACGAATGATTTCCAGTACGAGAATAGGAACAGATTATCCAAGTTATTGAGAAATCTAGCATTAGATTCAGAGAAGTTCTTGAAATAAGATATAATAATGCATATATCGGGCTACTAACAAACAGCTCTTGAAACTGTATTGATAGCAGAATGAAATAATAGCAGTATTAAACAATCAACTGCACTATCTATATAAGCAATAAAGTCTGCAACTAGTATAATAAGCAAGAAGCTAGAAAGAAATATCAATATAAATAGCAATAAGCTAGAAAGCTTGCTCAAAAAGCAGTATAATAAGCTTAAACTTCAAAAGGAAAGGATTATCTGTAATAGGATTACAAACAATCAGAGCTTAAAGATCCCTATATACTGTATATAGCAGGAACGAAGCATATATAAAACTTAATGCTTATATTTACAGAAATAAGTATAGAGCTCTATTGAATAGTAGCGCTTAAGAAAATTTCATATCTCTCAGAATTATTAACAAGGCATATATTAATTAGCATTAGAAGAAGAAAATCTACAATCTTCTTACTATAGAAGGATAAACTATTATATATAATCAAGATATAATCAATATAGAAACTAATTATCTACTAATCTTAATCCAAGATTATATAATATCTATTGCTTTTAATATTATAGATATAGCAGAATATAAATTGATTTTAAATATTTCTTAGCTCAGATAGCATAATTCTCGAATTAATTAAATTACTAGCTAGATCTCTTGAAAACAAGCTATATCCAACGGAATAATTGCAATTAATAGCACAAAATCGAATTCAGTTACTGAAAAATACTTGAGAAAAGAAGCTTCAAACAGATTCATATATATCTTCAGATCAGCAGAGCTGATAGCAGAAGAAGAAGAATCTAGCAGAAAGAATGCTACTACTATATCAAAATTCTTGCAGATTACAGAAATAAGAATGCAGATACTAATACAAGATAATTAGTCTGCATCAGAGCAATATATTACAAGTTAGAACAAAGAATGGAAATTGCATCTCAGAAAAATCGCTTCAGCTAGAGCTAATAAATAGCAACTCAGCAAAAGAAAGAAAGCAACAGTTCTCTATGCAATACAAGAAAGAAAGAATGCTCAACAATATCTACTATTTCTTCAGATAGCAGAAACAGAATATGAATTAGAACTAATACTTGCAAGCATACTACGAAAGTATTATAAATTCAAGAAATTGTTTCAAGAAGAATTGAATACAGAATTATTAGAATACAGCTTTTACAATTACAAGATTCTATTATAAGAAGAAAAACAATCCAAGTTTTTCCTTATCTACAAACTAGATGAAGTATAATTCGAAGTATTTAGAGAATATTTCAATAAAAACTTCAAAAAGAAATATATATAATCATTGCAATTATCAGCAGAATATCCTATTCTATTTATATCCAAAAAGAATAGCAAGCTCAGGCTATATATTAATTATAAATAGCTTAATAATATTATAATCAAGAACTAATATTTGTTATTATTTATTAAGAAGCTGCAAAATAGATTGCAAGAAGCATAATAATTTATAGCTTTAAATCTTAAAAGAGCTTATAATCTAATCAGAATAAAGAAAGAAAAAGAATAGAAGATTGCTTTCAAAACATGCTACAGATATTACAAATATTTAATCATACTCTTTAGTTTAATAAATGCCCCAGCTTTATTCCAAGAAATAATCAATTATATTCTATATAAGCATCTTAATTAGTTTATTATTGTATATCTCAATAATATTCTTATTTTCTCTCGAATACTGGAAGAATATAAGAAATATATGGAAATAGTATTATAAACGCATCAGAATACAAAACTTCTTATAGAACTTACAAAGAGTTACTTCTATATATAGAAAGTTAATTATCTCGGATTTACAATTAAGCTAGAATGCATCAAGCTACAGAAAAACAAGATAAAAGCTGTTAGAAACTAGCTAATTCTCAAAAACATTAGAGATGTTAAATCTTTCCTCGAATATATCAACTTCTATAAGCAGTTTATTAAGAACTATAGCTGGATTACATATTCTCGTACAAATCTTACCAAGAAGAAACAATCTTTTAAATAAACTTCCAAAATATAAGAAGCTTTTAATAAGATTATCAAGCATATTACTTCAAAGCTAATTCTATATAAAGCAGATCTCTATAAACTATTTGAAATCGAAACTAATACATTAGAATATGCATTCAGAGAATAACTTAGTTAATAAGATAACTAAGAATATCTAAGAATTGTAAGCAACTTCTTAAGAAAGTTGAATAGCTCAGAAATCAATTATAGAATCCCGGATTAGAAACTTATAATAATAGTAAAAGCTTTTGAGAAATAGCAATATTATCTTATTAGTATACAACATCCGATTATAATTTACTCGAATTACAAGAATCTAACTATATTTATAACAACTAAGATCTTGAAGCAATAAATTAGATAAGCAGAATTTCTCTTATAGTTTGATTTCAGAATTGTATACTGCAAAAGCTCAGAAAATGAATAAGCAGATGCTTTCAGCAGAAGATCAGATTACTGAAATGCAAATTCCTCGGATATACAGAATATCTTTACTCAAGATAAATCAGGAAATCTTATCAATACATATAAAAAGCTGAATACTATCTTCAGAATCGGATCTTCAGAAAAGAATCCAGAATCAATAATTTCAAGCAAACAAAACAGCTATATCAGAAATATATACAGTGCATCAGCATATAAATATCAAGAAGTTAAGGCAATCTACAAATGCATTAAGAAATACTGAAATCTGCTAGATCTTAGAAAAAGAATTAAGAATATTCTATAATAATACAATAGCTGCAAGAAGAACAAGGCAGAAAGATACAAGCCTTACAAATTACTGTATTTCTTATCAATATTTACAACTATTTAGCAATCCATTAATCTAAACTTTATTATCAAGCTATCTTTCTTACAAGAACTCTTAACTAAAGTATAATATAATAGCATTCTAGTAATAGTTTGCAAACTGAGCAAGTATGCTTACTTTCTTCTTTACAAGAAAAGCAGTATAATAGAAGAACTTGTATATACATTTCTCAGAATGATTATTACTAATTACAGCATGCTAGAAGAA